GAGGTGGCGGAGGAGTGGTACCTCCTTGAACCTGGGGAGGGGAGGATCCTGTAGCGAGATAGCTGTAGGAAACTCTACGAAGTTTAGTTCCATGGCAGGCCTGGCATAACCCACTGCTTCAGAGTCAGTAAAGCTGGGATACAATGAAGAGGACAGTGAACATACGACCCACGCTGGAAAGATCCAGCACATAGATCACAGGTGATCCAAGTCATGCCTTCATCATCAAAGACATAGGAGGAAAGAGAAGAAGTCATTGTAAGTGATGTCAGGAGTTGTTGCCGTTTGTGATGTCTGAGTTTGGTAATCAGTTGAGTTTCTTATTTTTCCAAATCTTTCATTTCAACATCAGGAAGGCCCGTCGATATATATAGTCTCAACCTAGAGAGCATCAGCTTCGACCATAGTATATACCATACAGCCAATTTGACAGAGGCTGTGTTCATCTCTCAAAACGGCCACCAACACACCGCCTTACAAACACCACGAAGCCTAGAATTGACATGGAGCGTCATATCATGTCTGTCAGAGTCGGTAGCCGTTGTCAAGATGCCGGCTGCAACCGGGTCTTGTGATGGCGATCGGGTCAAGGATGCTTGGTTGCCTTAATCGGGCTCAAGTCTTTAGACAATCTACTTCGTGCCCGAACTCAACAGCCCTCATCTGAGCCGGGATCCAAATTCACATATCTGGGGTCCTGGGTTTGGGCCTCATTTCCAAACGCATATCCCCACACTAGCTTCTGTCGGCCCCAGGCTACAGCACACACTTGACCGAATAGCTGCACTTTGTGGCTTTTGCACTTCATGCAACTTTCCTTCGGTCTGTACCAAGAGCGCCTCCTGGACCGTGTCGTCGGTGCTTATATGGAGGTAAAATGCCTCGAAATCTTGACCGGTTGCGGAGGAGCCCGGCAAATCAAATCCATGCTGACCAACTCTGACGGCTTGCTGCATGATCGCAAGGTTGTGCCTCATACCCCGAGCTTCTGCGACGAACCAGATTAAGCGGACTCTGTGACTTCGGCTGAACTCATGCAGCTTCGCGGGTATTGAAAGGTGTCATTTCTCAAATAGCTGTGCTATTGCGTGCACGCCTAAGTAGTTGCAGCAGCCACGAATTACTTACCCAACACCCTTAATAGATGATGGAAATTCTGGAAAGCGTTCCTCTGGTGGGTGTCACATATTGTCTCTGAGAGACAGATCGACCGTGCTTCGTGAAGTGTCAGCTAGTAGCCTTGCTTGAAAGGGGGCGTTGAAGGCGATGTATTCGCATCACCTGAAATCTTGATATCACGTTGGTGTATAGTTTAAGTGTACGAAACCGAGGTCCTGAAAGAGAAAGCTGGTCTTGGCCATCATGCTGTGCCCATCCTGTCTCTTATCCGGTGCAACCTCCCGATGAGCGTCGGGCCTCTCCAATTGGCATGGTTCACCAATTGACCGACTTTCATGATGGCAGCCGCGTTTGTGGTTATTTGCTGCATCAAGTGAGCCCAAAGGTTGTCCAAGAGACAGAACCAAGTACAAGAAGCCACGACATCGTTGTCAACATGCCACTCTTGTACGCCCATCAATAAACTGACCGGTCAAAAGACATCTGTTATCCATCGGTCAAGCCAAGACCGGAAATAAAGGAAGGAAACAGTAAGCTTGCTGTGATCTTTCGATACGCAAGGTTATGCACCTCTTCGTTAGCTCTGCCTTTGTGCTACCCTCAACTACTTCAAACCTTCTCTGTTGAGCCCACAACTGTCTGCCCACCAACGCTTTGTAATTAGGAAAGTCATAGCCAACAAAAGCCTCAACCAATCTTGGCTGTCTTATCGATCAATGCCGCCGCTTGCTTTGGCTCGGCTTAAGATGTTAGAAGGACGAGACTATTCACAGTCTGACCACCCTACCCATCCCGTGTTGTTTCAAATGGGCGATAACGGGTACATTATCCATTACTAAGGTAAAGGATAGTCAAAGATAACGAGGGCAGCGACGTTGATTCTGGGGTTGTTGCACGGATGGCCTTGCAGGCACTTTTGCCGATTTAACAGGATACTTCTTATCCTGACCCTCCAAATCATGCACATTCACCGTGGGATGCTTATTCGTGCTTGGTGACGTCTGAGCTCATCAAAAGACCGTCAGATGACCTCGACGCGGGAGGCTTTTCAATCACCAATCAGAGAAGATACCTAGTGGCTAGAATAGTAGCTTTTCTTATCTCTAGTAGTATCCATCATAGTATCTCAGCCCTAAGATCGGTGATGTCGATTCAAAAAACCTGAGAGTCAGCTGAACCATATACGATATCCGGTGCTCGCTGTTGTTAAAGGGGGTGGAGCCGTCAAGGGCTAGCAGCCAGAATCCATTCTGCTTTGGTGAAGGCTGCAGTCAGTCCCGACTAACCTGATGACTCAAGTATGATGACAGTGAAAAGAATGTAATTCCTCCTGTTTTGAGGGTCACGTAGGACATGTTGTGTATGTCTCAAAACTTCCGAAGGGCTTGATGTCAACAGGCTGTATTGAACCTCCAACGGCGTCGCACGACAGTTGGACCTGCGTCTGTGATGTTATCGTGAAATGATCTGATAATTCAGCTCGAAATCGGTTTGAAATTGACGCAGGCAAAGGGGGCCATTCTTTGCCATAGTCATTGTGCAATAACTTCCAGTTGGTACACTCAGACATACAGCTCAGTGGCAGAATGAGACCGTATTCCCGTGGACATTTACTTTCTGTTCAACAGGCGGTCACTGCACTTGCAGCTGTTTGAACAGCAGATTCTCATTTCCTTCAACATTCAACTGTCCATTTTCTTGTAACTGCGTGTTACAACGGCCCGACCACGCGAGAATGACAAGTTGACGTGACCAAAAATGGCTGGGTCAGTCATACCATCTGCTCTACCAGGAGCTGTTGTTGATGCAAATGCTCCATGAGGTCGGCAGGCAGGTGTTGCTGAACGAGCTGCAGACACGGGTGATGGCATGGGCAAAACCACGATGAGCCTGTGCGACCGGTTACACAAACAAAGCCCGTCACACAAATGACGCCCTTTTTAGACAAGATGTGTCTCCTGGTTATTTGGCGAGGTCCTGCTAGAAGTTTCTGGCCTTTTCGGATGGACTTTCGGTCGAACTTAGTCTGCATGATCTTTGTGGTATGTACTTGCAAGAGTCCACATTATAGCGTAATAGTTCACAAACGCTGCAACGAACCAAGCTGAATGCTCGGAGATAATCATGTCGTGGTAATACTTGATGGATTGTTTAAATGTTTGAGAATTAACTTTGTTGTTAATGTTTATGTTAGAGAGTCAGTTGTTCCTATTATGGAAGGATGATGTGACGTTGCGCTACCTGAGGAAGTCATAGGATATTGTTTAAGTGCATAGCTCGGTTGTTGCATATCATGTCCATGCGCGCCGTTCTTCACGGTGGAGAGGAGGCTTTGGAGTAGGGAATTAGAGCTTGGAAACTTAATAAATGCTTTGTTTCTCGGCTTTCATTGATAAAAAGTCCTGAGACAACTATCAAGACCATGAGCTGAGCTGACGCGACTGATTTTCCGTCTTCAAAATGTCTGTTATTCTCTGCACAGGTAAATGCGACTCTTCTATCAACATATCCTCCAGTACAAGCTAACCCACCTTACAGCTGGCTATGACCATACTATCAGGTGCGATATGATGCGCTTCTCGACTAGTAATCACAAATGGCTGACATGCAGCTTCTAGATTCTGGGAAGCCTTGTCGGGTATCTGTTCACGAACAATTCAACACCCTGACTCCCAGGTGAACCGTCTCTGCATCTCTCCTGACAAGCGATACCTTGCCGCCGCTGGCCACCATACCGTCAAACTTTACGATATCAAGTCTACGAACCCGAACCCGCTGTTGACATTTGAGGGCCACACTGGAAACATCACAGGCGTCGCATTTCACTGCGAGGGGAAATGGATGGTAACTAGCTCCGAGGACGGAACCGTCAAGATCTGGGAGACACGGACCGGATCGATTCAACGAAGCTACAACCATGGCTGTCCAGCGAATGACGTGGTGATTCATCCCAACCAGGGTGAGATTATCAGCTGTGATAGGTCTGGAAGTGTCAGGGTGTGGGATTTGGCTGAGAATAACTGTTCCCATGAGCTCATCCCTGAGGAGGACGTCTCAGTCTCCAGCGTTACAGTCGCTAGCGATGGGTCCTTGCTATGCGCTGCAAATAACGCCGTAAGTAGCATTCAAAAGTGCTGGAAATTAATCTCTAACCACTTCACTAGGGCAACGTATTCGTGTGGAATCTTATTCAGAGCTTCGACCGCACACAACTAGTGCCAGTAACGCACTTCAATGCCCACAAGGAATACATCACCCGTATTCTTCTATCCCCAGACGTCAAGAAACTCGCCACTTGTAGCGCAGACCACACTGCCAAGATCTGGGAGGTGAAGAACATCGAACCAAGCACAGATCCGGAACCCAAGCCGTATCCCCTGGAAGCCACTCTTACCGGGCACCAGCGCTGGGTCTGGGATTGCGCTTTCAGCGCCGATTCTGCATATCTGGTAACTGCTTGCTCCGATCACTATGCGCGATTGTGGGAACTGCACAGCCAGCAGATTATCCGACAGTACAACGGACATCACAGAGGGGCTGTCTGCGTTGCCTTGAACGATTATTCGGAAACACGATAAAGGGGTTATATGGAGCACGGTATAGCACTAGATTCAAGCCAGGTTGGCGGGAGAATGGCGTTGGTTCGATGTTTTCAAGAGGGTTCGGATATTACTGTTTGAGGATTGAAGCTACGATACAGACATGTGCCCTAGATAGTGAAAGACATCCATTTGTCAACGGAAATCGCACCGTAACCCCTGAAGGATGACAACAAGTAAGTGATACACTGAAGGGGTAATAGTGCTGAACAAGCCTTCATATGGAAGCATTAAATAGATCATTCATATGATTTCACTGTGCCACACAATCTATTCACAAAGCAGTACAATTTGTTGACAGTATCAATTGTCCATGATTAAGTTATGCCCTTGGTAAATGCCAGGGCCTTCCAAACATTCGTGGGTTAAGGTCGCTTGCTAGACATGGGCAGCATCAAAGTGTTTAGAAGCCCTCCTTGTCAAGACGCTCCTGGGCATTCTGCTTGGCCTCGTCGGAGACATTGGGGTTGTTCAGAGTACTATTGTTATCAGCCGGTAGTCAAGTCTAAGAGATCCATGAACTTACGCCTTGAGACCACCAGCAACATTGCCAGGGTTCTTGTCCTTGTTGTCCTCAGCACCAGTAACTGTAAGATGTTAGAATGGGACTTATAATGGGAGGCATATTGAGCTTACCCTCACCATCGTTGAACTCGTTCTCGAGAACCTGGCGGGAGTGCTCCTTGGCCTCCTCAGAGGTGTTGGGGTTGTTGATAGTAGCCTTGTGGCCACCGGCAACCTGAGCATCGGTCATTTTGAAGGTAGTGTATGGTGATCTTGGTAAAGAAGGAAGTTGTTGTGATAGCTGTTGCTTGAGGGTTGTCGATGTGTTGATGATGGGCAGTGATGAGTTGGTGGAGGACAACGGGACTTATTATAGCTATTTCTCAGCACTTGCTTGGTCTCTCATCGCCGATCCCATATTGAAAATCAACTTGAAAACATCAAATATCATTTCACTGACGCAACTGATGAGCCGGCCGATCAGCCAACCTCCTCTTATTGCGATGTTTCTGTCGGCAAGCTGCTTTGTCACAAGGCAGCTTGCATGTTGACCGCGTACCCGACGGGATTATTTGCTTCTGGTGAGGAATTATGCGGGTACGGCTTGTTGTGCGGTGACGTGTAGGCTGCCCCTGGGCAAGGGTTTCATCACGGACAAATACTCGATCATGGTGTTGAAGCGTGATTAGTGACATGCCGACATGTGTGCGATATCAGAGATTTCAAGTGCATACATCCCGGGGAAAGCTTGTGCGCATGTTATTGGTTCGATCGATAGTGAAGTCCGATCTTGTTGCACCTATAGCTTAGTCTTTAATGGTCCCCTTGCAGATCATCTACGATAATGCAAGATGAAGTGTATGGTTCCGATCAATACCACGGTAATGACGAAATTAGATAAATGCAAGTTGTTGGTCGAGATCAACAACAATACTACAACTGTCTCTAACCACTATAACGTTCCTGGACAAAACTGTATTGACCTACAGATCATGACGCATCCATTCATGCTTGTCAGGCACTCATCGCCAATTAACAACAAACATTCGTAGTATCACGGCTACCAGCTTTAGTGATGATTCCAAAAACAATCAAAGATGAAAAGACGGCCTGTGCAAGTTAATGAATCATGGACGCGTATCATGACGTAAGAACGTGTCGCAAATATAGGTCGATCACGACGAATGCGCGAGGTCCCGTGAAATACTGGAGAAGGAAAGAGACATATGAGGAAGTATCAGGATAATCACAGAAAGGGGTTGAATATTCGCCCCTTGAGTTTGCTCCAGACTTAGGTTATGGTGATTGGATCAACGGATAAATAGTGACGGACCACTGAACCTATGCAAATCTTGAACTCTCAAAGCATTGGTGAGGAAACAATCTTGAATAGAAACATGTCTAAGATTAATGAGCCCAATCGCAACCTGACCATATTCTGTAAGCAGTATCAACTCAACTGATCTATCGATTCCGTTGTCTGTCTTGTGGTTGGTCAAGGGTAGGTTGATCATTCGGAACTTTGCATGATCGACAAGCTGAGACTTTGGGTATGGTTCGGACAATTCCGAAGGAAACATCTCGAAGAGTGTCTGTATTGACAAATTTTCCAACCGGCGCTGGCCGAGTTATGCGCACATGCGGTCAAATTGAAGCCGACGTACGGATTGACGATCACATAATCCTGTGTTCTGTGTCGTTGAGCTTGAAATAGCCCCGAGACCGAAAAGCCAATCACAGAGCGTACCAGCTTTTTAGGCCGATCCGAAACTTAGACGAAACCACTGTAAAGACACTAACTGGCTCTAGCATATAGCTGATCCGTCCTCGTGGGACAGCGAGACATGTTATGTCGATCCATCTGGATATGACAAGTGGCTCATCGGCGTGTCCGCGGCAAAGGGAGCGAATCAAACTCAATGGACCTCCTTTGAGCGGCTCCTGGCAGTTCATCTATCGAAGTTCCTCATCGTCGGAACTGGGTCTCTCCCTACAGGACCTATGTTGATCACAAGGAGGTAGGGAGGCCAACCACGGGCCTCATGTCCAACATCCTTATGACGTCGCATCAGAACTTTATGTCCCCATGTCCAGCTGAACAGGGATCATCGCCAAGAAGCCCCGAGTGACCGGGTCGACATGTGGATTTCTCCTAGCAAGCGGTGACAGCATCTTACACCAAAAAGAATAAGCGATGTGTCTGTGTGAGAAAAAGCTGCCCATGATGGATGGTCGGGTCGCTTGTCAGCGCGGGAATGCGGCTAAAAGCACTGACCATGCGGGGAGCGAAAAAACGCCACACTAGCTGGCCCAAGCCCCCTGGGTCCATCAACAGCCCCCTGTAAGGATAGCGTTCTTAGTGGATAGAATTCCCCTAGGGCGAGGCTGAGTTGACGACCCCCGCCAGCCACGTTGACGCCTTAGCCTCCAGTAATATTTTTAGAAAGCACCTCTCCCGCACGATTCTGCCCTTGGTTCAATCTCAACCTCCACACAACCACCACAACCCGACGTCTAATAGGTCTCGTGGACTAATATCAGCCCTTTCTTGACGAACGCACGAGCCTCGTGTTCCCTAGTTTACGTTCACACCTCTCTTTGATTCCTTGATATTGAAAATCTAGAACGCAGGGGAAGCTTGTGTTGCATCATCACCATCATGGCATCTGCAGACGAGAAGCCACCAGTCTTCAATTACATCCTCAGCTTCGTTCTTGTCGGCCTCGCGTGGGGCTTCACAACCCCTTTCATCCGTCGTGCCGCTCAATCACATAATCCACCTGCGCATCCAGTGCTCGAGAGCCCATCAGTCCAATCTAGCTGGCTGAAGTCAAAGTTATACGGAGCTTTCTTTGCGGTCATTGACCTCTTGAAGAACCCTCGTTACGCGATCCCGTTGGTTCTTAATCTTACGGGAAGTATCTGGTTCTTCTTGCTTATTGGACAGGCTGGTAAGTTATGCTTTCTAAACTCACCTGTCAAAGGTTGTCAGGGTGCCGATCGCGGATAGTCTAGTGAATCTTTGCCACACCGAGGTGTCAATCGCTAATGACGACAATCAGAATTGAGCTTGACTGTGCCGATTGTAAACACGCTGGCGTTCCTCTTTACCGTTCTGGGTGATTGGTACGTTGATGGTAAGGTGATCAGTAAAGGTGAGTTTTGTGTTCATTCATAGCTATCTGTCTATTAACCATTTTAGATACTGCTGTTGGAATGGCTCTTATGTTGGTTGGAATTGGCTTGTGTGTTCAGAGCAAGCGTTGAAAGACTACGTAATATATATTTGAATGTCAATGATTTTATATAAAAGAAATGCCTTCTTCGGATTGGTTACCAAAGAATGGGAGCAACCTGCATGAGAGACTCCACTTCTGAGGGGACTTATTTGGTGAATATGAACCACAATCGTTAATGGGGCATGTAAGACAGCTATTCAAAGCATGCAGGAGGAAAGGTAGAGTAAATAGTTATGTTATTGTTCTGCTCCAGGCAGTTAATGGAGCCCAGCCCCGTTCTCCTAAACCGAGGCCCTACAAGACCTAGGAGTTCCTCTCCATCTATCTCAAAGTGTGCCCATGCAACACAAGTCTGTATCGTTTACATCCAGTAAAACAAACCATGACTCATCAAGTCATGAAGAAAATATAACAAACATGTTATTCCTTTGCGTAAATCACACCCCAAACCTCAACTCTCCCCCTTAAATATCCGGTCGTCAAGGGTATTCGTTAAAGAATCGTAGGCGTCAAAGAAGTAATAGGAAGAAAGTTTTCATGATTAGCGTAGACGTCGTTCGCTTGCTTTTGGTTCTCTTCGTTTCGTCTCTCGTTCATCACAATCGTTGGTCCTGGGGGTATCTTGGATCGTACGTGGTAGCTTCGTCGTTTCTGTTTCCCTGGCGTTTTGTTCACCGGCGTGCTCGGAGCCAGCGGAGCACGCTTCGGAGACTGGGATCTTCTGCCGTCCAGCGGCCCATTCCTTCGTCCGAGGCCTTGAGCTCGGCGTAGATTACTTCGTCGGCGATTGCTGAGAGTTCCTGTAGCAAGAATTAGTTTAAGCTGGCTTAAATTGATAAGGCTATCGAGAGGTAGTAGCCTGTAAAGGGTTATCGTACCGCTCGCAGTTGACGATCGCATGCTCGAAGTTGAGACTGGTTGCTCGAGTTTGGTACGCCGCCCTGCAGCACCTGTTTTCTGTATTCAACCCATCGTTGAGCCGCCGCTTGTCGAAGGTAAATCTTCTGTCCCTCGTGCCGTCTCGCGTACGCGTCCAGGAGAACCCTTCAAGGTGGTTAGTAAGCTTGTCCCGAGTTTCTGTCTAGCAAAGTTGAAGACCTACTGCTTAAGCTCGGCCTTCATCTGCTCTTGCTCTCCACCAGGGGGGGTTGGTACGCTGGTGTCCGCACCACATTCCAGAATGTGTTGTCCATCCAGCGCACATTGTCGAAGAGCAGCCCATCCTTCGGTGTAATAGTCTGCAGTATCCTCAGGGTCGACAGGAGCAGCAGCTATGTAGTATTGCAGTGTTCGGAAATCAGAGAGAACTTCAGCAACTCGCATTGTGCGGAACTCGTTTACTGTAGAAGACAACAAGTTTACGTGTCAGTGTCTCTGAGTCTTTAAGGGGGGCTGTGGTGGTGCAAAGATCCCAATTGACCACCGTAGGTAGTTGCCAAGCTGGCCAGGTATAACTTACACCCGTCCATTATTTCTTAGCGTTTAGTTGGAATTGTTTTCGAAAGGTCAAGGTGATCAGACTAGCTGTGACACGAAGACAACGAGGCCAAATTGGTAGCAGAGTTAGGAGATAGAGTCGTGATGTATTCGAATCAAGTAAAATCGATTTGAATCGTAAAATAGTCGGTGATGAAAAAGTTGACGAAAATGGTAGGCAAGGAAATATTATAAGAGCTTTGTCATGTCGATCACTTGGTAACAGTTGAGAGAAGCCGGTTCTTCAATGCTTGCTTGATTGATTGACTGAACAATCGAAACAAGCAGCAGAACCGGGCATCCTTTTTGTATTGTATTATCGTGATGGTCGTCGAAGGCCTCCCAGATGCTCCATCGAGAAACTAGAAACAGACACAGACACAGACAACAAGAAGAGTTCCAAGAAGCTCTTGCTCCAGAAAAGTCTCCATCTAGTCTAACTTGAGTCTACAGCTCGACCTAAGCTTGCCAAAGGCATGCAGTGCTCCACCAACGGGAAGCGAACGGCTACTAGGTCCAAGGGGGGATACCACCCGACATCAAGCACCCCCCTCTCTCTTCCTGGTCGAAGAGCCCCTATGGCACACATGAGAGGCTCGGCAATTAAAGCCAGCCCTTTGAGACAGAATCTTGGGCCACCAGTGAGAGGGTCGAGATGTGCCTCCACTCAGAACGTCCCTTTGCAAGCGCATGTCCAAGTGCAAGCTCAAAAACATCGACGACCCCGGACCAGCTGGTGGCAAACCATCATGCTATCGAATGGAACCCAAGCATAAGGCCAAAGCCTTACCCTCAGCCCTACTCCTTACCCTGTCCTGCCCCTGGATATATGCAGAGTACTGCAGGGCCCGGAGAGTAAAGAGCCCCATGTAGGTAGTGTGTATGTGTGTGGCACGTCATGAGCATGGCATGGCATGGCATGGCATAGTGTTGAGGGTGAGGATGAAGTAAATGGGTGTGTGTCCAGCCACACCCGGTTTTTCTCTCCCAATAGGGTCGAGCATCCGATATATTCTAGTTGAGAGGCGTCAAAGAGGCTTTTCTCTTTCTCGGCTTGTAGTTTAAGCACGATACCGTATTCCGTCTTTAGACAGAGCGGCGTGGGTCAAGACTCATGCCATTGCGAATTTCACATATCTTCAGTTTTCCGACTGACTAAAACATCCTAAAAAGCATCTTTGTCCGAGCAAACAAAGTTAAAAAAAAACACTGGGTATGTTAACGTTATACGCTAGGAAAAGTGCAGTCACTTTTCCTGCAGGGGTGTGGTTGTCAGAAACAAGTCTCCGCAGAGAGATGCTAAACCTATCATACCTGCCCTTGCGTGTAGAAAAAAGAGACGGTCAAAGTATTTTGATAGAGAAAAATAAATGTGTAGGTTGTTGAATAGCGCAGGTGGATGTGGTGGGTTGGCGCCGGCTCAGCTACCCATGAGCCACCCACTAGTTGCTCCCGAATAGGAAACGCCCTGTAGCTCTATCGGGCCAGCGAGGCCAATAGGCGCGCGGATGAAGCTCTCACAACTGTCTGGGGCGAGCTGATGGCTGTAAAAGGTCAAGCCTATCTACACGAGGCCGTCTGAAAGTGAATGTAACCCTACAAGACATGGGCACGACACGACACAAGACAAAATCAAAAGGCTGAGTCAATAGCGGTGATTCCGATATGAGAAGTTATCGAAATAATGATTCATGTTATTTACCCGAGCGATTGACAACACTTGTCACCGACTTCCACGTTTGATACAGAATGTAATGCTAGATTAGATGGATGACATGGGGGGTAGTCCATGTCAAGTCAGATCTGAAACCAGCCCGGGCATGCTGCATCTATCACAACTAGTTTGCTTACTTGGCTTGTCAATTCCAGCTCGTCCAGGTTCATTTCAACAAGGCATATCGCAGATATTGCAAGACATTGGACTTTTCCCCAAATCGTGAGGCACAGAGTCGTCAGTTGACTGCATCTTCACTCACTATCAGGCATTCACAATCCAAAGAACTGGTCCTGGTCCACGCTGTGGCGTCATGCCTTCTATTTTTTGCATGACGCCGTTTGAGGTCGCTCACATTCTCTCCCCCAACCAACATCATTGCTCACGTTCTTCAACCGTTATTGACTTCACCAAACTAAAACTTTAGTCTGCGAACTCTCTACCGTTCGCCTTCCCAACGTTCGCCTCCCATCCCATACCATTCTCAACACGAACTCCCCCGTCTCGGCTACTTTCCATCGCTCCCGCTCCCGCTCCCGCGCCTTGGTTCTGTAAACAACTTACATCAGAACTTGATCCTGTTTTTGGATTGGTCGTGGCTTGTTTTCTTTCAGCGCCCCTGGAAGGCTCAAATCGGCGCTTACTATAGGTAGCCAGCCATCAAACTCCAAGGAGCTTCCCAGTAAACTAGGGGCCCCTGTAAAGACGTAGTAGTAGATCCCGATCGACCGGATGGATGGCTTTCACTTTCAGATCATATTTTACAAGCCTTGTCAACAAGTCTGTGCATGTCAGGAGAAACATTCTTTACCAACCACTTGTTTTCCAAATCTGTGCATTGGCATATTCGATCCCATATGATTATCACTTCCAAGGATGCGATGAAAGTACTAGCATATTTTGGGATAGCTCTGTTCGCATATTCATTCAAACTTGAAATCATACCTGTCAGTCACTCGTCAAGAAGCCTCTTTTGTCATTCGCGTTCTAGATTCTCGTATGACTTAGAGATCAATACCAATTGAGCTTGTTTTGGAGAAAGTAAATGACATAGGTATGCGCATTGACCAAAATTAGAACAAACCACGCTAGAACAAACTTGCACCAAATCGAACTGGCTTCGCTGCGAGGCTTGCGTCCTTGATCATGTCTGAAATAGATCCACTATTGAGAAATATTGGTTTTCTCAACACTCACAACTGCACTGCGCTGCATGACCCACTAACTGGCATATGTTAGTCCCATCGTAGGCTCTTAGTAACTTGGCGCGAGGCATACTCGTCCTCAATTGGGTCATCAGGCGCGACAGTTGTTATTTGCTCAATTGAAAAGTCTCATCAGTTTCTATTGCACATGGTTAGGACGGCTAGTGACACACTGACGAGGACCCACGCCCACGACGGCATCCAAGTCTCTGATCTTGATAATCCATCCCCCTGCATTGGTATTGCATGGCCCACGTTCCTGGGAGCAGAACGTCGTCCCTGCAGCCCACGAATCAGGCCTCTGATTCCTCACGACAAAGTGTACCGACCTCGTACTATGGCCAGTCGACTATGTTTCATCCATGTTCCATATCATTCTCTCCACTCGCTCAGTCCTTCTCTGCGATAGCTTGTAACCGGTCGTCAATCTCGTCCTCAGTCAATGTTCGGAATCCCGAGTAGGTTCCCTCTTCACCGTCAGGTCGAGGTCCACCCACAATACCGATCTCGATCTCTCCCTTCTTGAAGTCCATGCTCAGAACTGTGCTCAGTGTTGTGATGGCCAGCTCAACAACCTCCTCCCAAGATCCCTCCGCATGCTCCTTGTTACGGAGCTTCTTCTCAAGGTGGTTCAGCGCCTCCTGTTGCTTCGGGCCTGCCGCAGTTCCCTTGTAACCGATGTAGTATCCAGCAGGGTCGCACTTGAACAGCTGGGGGCCATATTCCGAGTCGAGCGAAATCAGAGTGGTCGCAACGCCGTAAGGTCGCATGTAAGCCTGGGGGTGAGGTCAGCATATGATTGGTCGCAATTTTGAGGATGAGAACATGCTTACTCGTTGAGTGTAGACTTGGCTGATGTTGGCAAGACGCTTGGCCAGTGCATCAGCTGGCATCTCATAGCCATACTTGTATCGAAATTCTGCTGCTTCGCCCTGAGCCCTTTGAGCGAAAGCTCGGGCATCTGCGATGGATCCTGTGATGACGCAGCCTACTGAGGGAGAGAGCTGGAAGATGTGGGTGACAGAGGCTGGGTCCATAAGCTTGTCCTATTGTCTTGATCAGTGCTGATCATGAGATTGTCCAACATTATCAACATACGGGGACCTTCTTCTGAGACAGGACAACAGCACAGTCCTTGCCTCTCACACCAACGGACATAATATTGGCAGCTGTGATCGCCTTGAAGGCGTACTCTACAATCGTGTCAGTCCTGAATCATGTATCCATCAACGTCATCGGTCAAGGAAGTCGTAGTGTTCGGTGCTCTTGACGCTCGGGGATTCGCATACCAACTTGGTACAGCCGACCATTGTCAGCGAAGATGGTAATGTGTCGATCGTATGCGCCGGCTGTTTAATTGTGTTAGCAAGGATGCCATGGATTGGATTGATGTTGCATAGCATACCCGACATTGTGGAGGATTTGTGGTATTTAACGGTTCGGTATTGGGTAGAATTAGAGGCTGAAGCTCAAGAAGAACTCGACAAGTTCTAAATGAGGAGAGTTTGAGGTGTTGATTGACGTTGCGGAGGTTGAGGGGAGCTGTTGTGGGTTGAGATAGTCGACGCGTTAGCAGGAGCTTGCCTGGAGCACAGTGAGGCAACGGAGCTCAATGGGAAGGCTGAGTTGATGCCTCGCTGGCATTAGGTAATCCTCAGGCAGAATGTGGTAGGCGAAAGGGTGACACAAAAGACAGACACCATGATACGTTGTCATAAGAGCAGCTTGGGGTTCATTCATCTACTGAAATATTCTTACACGGGTTTGAATTACACACGAGGCTGTATAATACTAGATCCCTGGTATTTTATTCATCGAAAGAGGCCTGAGATACTGAAATCTCTCAGTCGGTCGCCAATACTCTTTCCTTAGGTATAATAATGTCATCCAAGCTCTCCACACTCCTTATCTTATCGCAATTCCAGTCCATTCAGAAAAAAAAGTTGCTGCTAAACAACCAAGGAGATCCGGCCCGCAACAACACGACATTGCATATCGGCCTTGCACTTGCACTGCGCTAAAAGGAACTTGCAGCATTGACAACTCAGAGTCCCCCTTTAAGCTTTGCGCTGTTGTTATTGGCTCTTTGAAAGTCAATAGAGAATCCACCGCTCACACAGCAGCTAGAAGAAAATTCAAGGACCCTGGCAACTGCAGCAAATCTGAGGAAGTTGAAGAAAACACAAACCTCTAGATCTCAACTCTGAGAGTCGGAGTTTGTTCTTGTTCTTGCTACCACTTTCTGGACCTCCCCTTCAAACCAATTGTACAAACACCATCTCACAATGTCTGGTCAAACTCCCGCCTGGAAGAGATTGGGCTTGAAGCTCAAGCAAACTTCTGATGCATCTGAGCCCAGCTTTGGGCACCCAACCAGCAGTACAAGCACAAGCACCCAGTCAAGTACAAAGAGAAAATTCGACGCCCCGCCGCCTTCCAATTCCTCTCAGGTTGCTAAGCGACCACGTCAGGAAGAAGCCACAACAAGTTGGAATGCGCCAGGACAGTTAAAGAGGCAGAAGTCAGTCACCTTCGCCGATGCACCACCCAACAACCACTTTGCCAGGACACCATCAAAGCCCACCAAACAGAGCAAGGCCAAGAGCAAAGGCCCCGCAAAGAAGCCTAAACCCCAGGTTCCTACTGATCTCAAGCCTGCGCTTGAATACTTGAGGCTCTGGAAGACTGCTCGCGATAGCTGGAAGTTCAACAAAAACCACCAATCAAACCTCATCAAGCACGTTTTCGATGCCGATGGAGTCCCCGCCTCTGACATTGAAACCTTCTACGACTACATCCAAGACTTGAAGGGCTTTGTGAGGATGCGACTACTGGAGAATGCTCGCGAGGTTAGGGATCAGGATCAATCGGATGGAGCAAAGGTGTTCCCCGAGGGAACCAAAGACCTTGAGGCTACTCAACAACGATATGAGGAGGTCCTTGCTAAGATTCTTCAAAGTCACCCAGTGGGAACTAAGAGAAAGGGTTTCACCGAGGTCGATTACCTCTCGGACTCGGAAGAGGAGGATGTTATCATTCGCCGACTTGTGAAGCGCATGAGAGCTGAGCTGGTCATTGATGAACTTTCCGACGGCGACGACGCCGAGGCCAGCATCGCATCATCACAGACCATCACTGCAAGCGATAACAACGTCACATCAACTACAGATGCAGAGAAGACCGTGAAGATCGCCGAGGGCGTTCCCGGAAAACGTCGACGAAAGCTCCGTGTGAATGTCGAAGACAGCGACTCCAGCAGTTCCGAGTCAGACTCGGACTCTGATTCAGATAGTGACTCCGACACCAGCAGCAGCGGGAGCTCGTCATCGTCTGAGGACGAATCCGAGAATGAGGCACCAGCACGACCTTATCGACAACCCGGCGAGGAAGACTCGAGCGATTCCTCGTCTTCTTCGGATGACTCGAGCTCTGATGGCAGTTCGAGTGAGGATGATTCGGACTCTGAGTGAGGATTATGATACCCGTCTTTGATGACACAGGATTAGGACAAAGGTGGAGCTCGGATAGACTGTAAAAGCCATGTTCGCATACTAATTTTTATCGACATATCTACGGATCATGTTTCAATGTATGTCTATTGGCATACTTATATTTGGACGTAAACAGATATAGAGGCTCCAAGGAGCGTTGCAATGGTACATGTTTCTCGTTTTTGAGATCGTCTTATTCATTTAAGCATACAACTTGGTGAACCCTTCGTTTGGTGGCTGAAGCCAATTCTTCTCGTCGTAGTCCCTGTCTTGTCCTTCAATAATATGGAACGTGTAGATAATTCGTCCCTTCTGACTGGTGTTCTTCTCACTCTTGTGCAATAAGTTGCCGTGAATGAGAACTAGATCACCAGCCTTGACTTCTCCAGGGACATACTCATGTTGCCCGTCTGGCGTCGCCTGTCCATAGCCTTCTGCTGAAGGGAACTTCGGTCCATCATTATCTACCATCTCTGTACCGACATTACCTGCCTTGCGAACGAGTCTCTTTTCAACTGGTGCCCAGCGATGTGAACCAGGCAGGAAACTTAGACATCCATTCTCAAGCGTGGCATCTTCAAGGGCATACCAGAAACCCACAGCCGAGGGAGGGTTGGTATATAAGAAAGTGCTATCCTGATGGATGTTAGCCAGTCATTAACAGAAGCAGCCTGACATACTTGATGGGGAGGCACGGCCCCTCCTATTTCTGGTTGCTTGCAGATGACCATGCTCTGCAGACACCGAGGGTCTTTGAAGCCAAGACTACGTGCTACAGCAGGTGGACTGACCTTGCTTGTATCGTGGTCCAGAAGGCGAGCAAATGGAGGGGACAGAGCGTGTAAGTAATGTCCAATCTTGTTAACAGCCCGGGCTTTGGGTTTGTTAAGTCTTCCATCGTCGTCAAAGGCGTCTTCCTCAAAGAAGAATCGGACCTTGTCGCCTGAAGTCAGGAAGTAGTCGTCACCAACATGGTCACGTTTCTCGCCGGTTGAGAAACGTGTGAGAGGGTGATCATCTAATGAGAAACTTTCGAGAAGATTGTGAGTTTCGTCGAGTAGAGATTTGACTGTTGAGCTGGAGAGGGCACCAGGGAGGATGAGGTAGCCATCGCGGTTGAATGCTTCCAGTTGTTCTGGTGAGAGACCTGGGGTATCAGTAGTCATGGTGTTTTTGTTGTTCGAGGAGTTAAATAGTGCCTGGGTATAAGTTGAGGTGATTTATCTGTATCTGAACCGAGGTTGTGTGGGATAAGTTCATGTTGATAAAGAGTCCAAGGTGGGGAGCTACATATACCCCGCCTGCATCACCACATGCCTCATACGGTTACGACAAACACAGCAGTTGTATCACTAAGAGAAGGATTATAAGCTGACTTGTTTTGTGAGCTCCCGGAGTTCATATTTTTGATTACCCGTAGATACGATTGGTTGTGTTATATACGCCATGGTTCCTGGTCGCATGCCCAATCGATGAAATTCTATCAATTTACTAGATCTATTTAAAGGTAGCTACAGCAGAGCCCCTTTTCATTAAGATAGTCTAGACCAGCACCATATAAATGTACCAGACATCTAACACCAGAGACTCTTCACTCAAAAACCAAAACACCGCCCGATGAGAACGATAGACAAGAAAATATGCAACCGACAAATCCAAGCATTAGTTATTGAAGACTTCCTAAGCATCGAGAGGGTCCGACAAGAAATCGTATCCCTCCTCGGGAGGAAGAAGGTATGCCGAGAAAGCAATACCAGTAGCAGTCAGAAGACAAATGACTGCCGCGGTGGTGCTTAGGTAGAACGACGTATCGAGCGACCACCCAGGAATATTGAACTGATCATCGTGATCATAAAGGTACGCCTTACATGATTAATTTGTTTTCGAACTCTTCCACATTGGATTTACTCACCACAATAGAGATGGCCACAAATTCCATAACAGAAATCAAGGTCAACATGCCAGCGGCAAAAGGCCATCCTGTCTCGCGCTTGTATTTGCCACCACACATGATGACAACAAAAGTCACCAAACCGCCCAAACATAAGAGAGTCGCAAATGATGCTAGAAATCCAACGGTCCTCCACATGGAGCAGAAGTATCGTTCACCTCCTTGGCAGAGATCCTTGGGGGGAAATGGTCGACAGGATGGATCATCCAACGTTGAACAGCTCTTGTGTAAACCGATATGTCTCTCGACTATCTCGCCGGTGGCCGAAGTAACGGAGTATGTCACCCAGTTGGGGAGCCATATCGGGATTACTATCATGACCGTCGCTATTGTTTGTCAACTTGAGATGAACCGAGCGCATACGTCATTGAAGGCGCGTGTGCTGTGGACAGAAAGTGGGAAAACTTACCAGCTACAAAAGCCGCCAGGGCCGAAGTGTATACTGAGACTCGCGTCATGGTGTTAGATGCAGTTTATCGTCAAGCTTGAAGATAAATTAGACTGAGGTTGTGTGGTAGATAGAAGAAGAAATGTCGATGCCTTGTGGTGGCCAGCCTCGAAAACAGCCCAGTTCATGTGCCAGGATAAGTACTACAGCTTATGAGTGGTTGATGCCAAGTTTCATTAATGGGTTTGGCGGGGGTCAAATTGTGGCTTAGTTTGCGAAACAAGCAACGATAAGCGACCAATAGAATATCACGAAGCAAAGATATGTGCTACGAGTTATTGAAGAGAACTGAACAATGTCTCGCGAGAGAAACAAGCCTCAAGAGGTTAATGTGATGGCTTTGAGCCTTAAACGCTAAGTTACTGCTATAAACAACAAAAGTTATGCTCTTCTTCAACTCGGAATCACGACACTAAAATCATCGCCAAGTAAGCATGTGACAAATGACTTTGAAGACGCTGTATTGATGGAAATTACTGGCAAAACAAACTCATCAAACATCGCCGCTTGAAAAACATGCGGATAGAAAAGCACACAAAACACGATCATCCGTTCGTTTATTCCGACAATATCGTCGAACAACCGGCCAAGGCCACATGCCCCTCGGAAAACCCTCCATGCAATAATCACCCAGGTATAAAGTCTGTAAACGCCTGCAAAAACACCAAACCCTCAGAATTGCCCAATGTAATGTAGTTGTCCTATTTCTTAGGGGACCTCTTCGCAACTGGTCCCTGATCGCTAAAGTCGGCGTCACTTAGACACTCGGCAACGACAGGGTTGTCAAAAATGTGCTTTTGTAGGTGTCCTCCAAAGAGAAGTCTCATCATGTCGATTCTGGAAGAGAGTGACCACGAATCGATCACGGCGACGTAGTTACCGAGGCGGAGTTTGTGACGGTATCCAAATTCAATGACACCATCCTCATTGGGCTTGGAGGTTTGGCGCTTATCGCCCTTCTGAGGTGTATAGCCAGCTGACGAATATCCTGGTCCGACACCCTTCTCCAGAGAGGTGATAGCACTCATTAAACTATCTCGTAGGTCGCGACGATCCTTCTTTGAAACTGATTTGGAGCTCTGCTTGGCGAGCTCTGACATGCGGCCTGTAAGCTTCTCTGGGTTGACGGGAAGATCCCAGGATTCTCCTGTCTCTTCCTCATGGTTGCGCGCTGCCTCAAAAATGAGTGCAATGCAGGCAGCGGCCTGAGCTTGAACACCGACATCAACGCTGTCAAGCTGTTCATAAAATCCATCCAAAGCCATGGTGGCGGCATATGAAAAGTCGTCCACATGGCTAGCAACAAAGGCCCAACCTCGAAGGGCAGCTGCAACAATGAATCCATTGTCATAAGAATCGATGTTGTCTCCATCAGACTCAACAATAGCGTATAAGTAGTCGAGCAGTTCAAGAGCCTCCGTCTCGCCACCGCCGCCATAAAGCACAGTGAAGCACAATGCGTAGATGCCAAAAGCTTTGCATTCTTCGTCGTCGTCGTCGGCAATGATCTGCTTGAGAGTTCCTTCAGCGTGCTCGTAAACATTGGCGTCCTCCGAGGAACTGAGAGTTAAAAGATATGCCTGAAGGTAAAGTAGTCGCTCCCTGGCTTCCATGCCGCGATTAGCGCCACGAATGAAAAGCTCTGCGAGTTCGTTGGCCGACTCATCAAGCCACTCGTGAGTGGCAGGGGCAAATCGATGTCGCAAAACCTTAATGTAGAGTTCCAACAGTTGAGTTCGCGCATCGCTATTGTTGTGCTTGCGATCCTGAAGTTCTTCCATAAACTGCTTGGCGTCGAATGTGTTGGTGCCGTCTTCGTTGGTATCGACTAGAGAGCTTCCGGAAGCAATGCTCATGGTATCGTCGTATTCGAAGTCATCTTCACTTTCGTCAGAGGCAGCCCTGCTTGGGGCTGCGGAATGCGCGGGTGACGTAAGAAGTGAGGCGAAAGGAGAGCCTCGAGGAGTCAAGCCAGCAGAAGCACGACCTGACTTGATGGCTTTCTTTGATGTGGTCTTTCCATCGCCCTTGAGAGCCTTGACTCGAGCGTGGTTCATCATTTTGCTGAAGTGTCGGAATTGAGCCCAAAAGTGGTATTGTAAATGCGAATGCGCAAAAAGTACTTAGGTTAATCGACGAGGAAAACTTGCAAAATTCGAATATAGGCAAGTTTATAACGATCAAATGATCAAAAGCTGTGCAGCAAGTGATCCTCGTCTAGTTGAAAATTCTGTCACTTGGGTATAGTTTTGGGTCTGGGTCGACTGATATGTGTGTAGTAGGCGGAGGTTCGTGTTACTTTATAGGCGTATCGAGTCATAAAGTCCATGGGGAAGTTCGCGCGACAATAATAGGGATTCGGAGATAGGTGTTGGCAAGATGGTTGCACCTGAATTTAAGCAAAGTAAGGGGGAAGAAGAGAAGGAAGTGGACGAACGGCGATAAATATTTGTCTAAATCCAGTGAGAACTGGGTTGTGGCGTGGCACCAGGAGTGTGAACTGCCCTGTGAACAGTGGAACAGTCCAGGTGGAACATGGATCAGGCGCCGCTGAGAAATTCCCAGGCTTTTAGTGGCAAATCATTGGCCATGAAAGCTTAAAGTGCCTTGAGTATGCAGGTGAAAGCCAACGGTTAAGAGGGTTTGTGACTCAGGGGCTTAATTTATTACGCTAGGGTACATGCTCGATGCTTCTGGGTGTTCCTGGTATCTGAGGATCTCATGCATTCTTGTCATTTAGTTCATGAGGTTCAAGAACACACATATCACATGTTTCTTCCAGTTCTTCAAATGACAGCATAGTGGGTAGCATCCCCAGAAAAGGGACAAGGAATGCCAACGTCAGTCCCGCTTGTTCCACTCGCCCGCTTAGCTGTTCTCCACTTGAGTGACCCTTGTCTCGGTCAGCGTCATCGATCATCACTTAACTCGCTTAGTCCCTTGCTGATAGATGTCTTAATGCCTGAGCAATGTCGAATGCTGCTTTGAAGTTCGGACTTCTGAATATAAATTTCGCAAGTCATCAATAGACTATAAAAAGTGGTGTGATGAGAAGATCTAGTTAGGTAAGCTCCCTCCGAGTCAAATGTGGTTAGGAAGAGCGAATGTGAAACTTGACACGAGAAATCAACCCCAACGCTTCACTTTTAACATTAATCAGTTCCAATCATTTTAGATAATGATACCCGTGTCGATATTCATTCGCCAGTTGGGTTAGGCAGCACTGGCTTGCTGGCTTGGAGTTAAGGGACAACGAGATCGCATAAACCGAGACTTGACTGAGCCCGTGTGGATATGCAATAGGGAGGGTTAGATTGTAATAGGGATGTTCAATGACAACCTGAGGCATGGAAGTGCAAGAGAAATCAAATAGAATTCAGTAGATGGCACAAACAAAAGATCACAGACGAAATAGAAATCCTTGATTGAAACACATTGTGCAACTCCTGCTGCCTTGGCTGGCTGAAGCACGGAGGCTTCTATCCGAGCCATACGAAAGTGCTCTCCTTGCCTAAGCCTCGTTTACGAGCACCCAGTAACTGAAGTCCTAGCTTCACAGTGTATCATACTTCACTCAAAAGTGCAATGTACCCCTCACCAGGCTAGAAGCATACCATGCCAGCTCAGACTCTCTTTATAATATTTCTTACAGGAGGGTTGAAACAAAATCAAGCTGATGTTTATCTGGCGGACGGCTTGGCGCCCCATGACCTTATCATTCCCCAAGCAGGCTGAAGCTCGTATCAGGTTCATGCAAGTGGTTGAGCTGGCACAGTGACTAGAATTTAAGTCACTGCCTAACAAATAGCAAAATGGCGTCAGGTGATAATCTTTGGCACCAGCGCTATCAGGAGAGATTGATACAGTGGGCGTGAGTTGGCTTCCAAGCGCCCAGTTTAGTGCATGTTGATAACGACTCTGTTGCACTATTTTATCCATGATCTCTTCACTCAAGCCATCTTGCCATCGGTCCGATTTTTAGCTTTGGTACTGAATTTTATTTGGTCTACGAGTCTTCGAGGGCTGGTAGCTTTGCTTTGAGAAAACCAGTAATTCATTAAGCTGGTGAAGTGGTGTCAGATCGCGACATTCACTTTGATCAGTACTCAGGTCCAGGGTGTTTCGGCAGTGTACAGTGCGACCCACTTGAGACAGCTGCCATTAACACCTAAAGCTCTAGATCCAAGCTAGACCCTGAAACTGATAATACTGATTCAACGTCAGCGGTGATACTCTGTTCTTACTTCGAAATACACCAGATACTCATGGGAATTCGATTTTCTTCTAATTATTTTTGTGAGTAACTTACTCACACTCTGAACCCAAAATTGAGAATTTCTTCTGCTTTCTGGCGGGGTCTCCCTTTCACCCCGCAAGCACTTGTAAGTAGCTCCGATAAGTGGCGGGGCTTATCGCTGCCTGCTGGCTGTCACCTGTCTGCCTGTTACGGCAGTGACCTTGCACTTCTGCCCCACTTCGCATTCACCTTCCGAACTTCCCAGCACCTCTTACCTTCATCTGTGTTGCCTTTAATGCCGTCTCTTTAACTTTTATCTTTCAACCTTTCTCCTGCAGCGAACCAAAAAGGGTCTTTATCCCCTCTTTGATGCTCTTTGTTTAGTTATTAACCTCGCACAACTCATCTTGAGTTTGCCCTGCTGACGTCTAATAGGTGGGCCCAGCGTGGGTATATGAGACAGTGTGCGCAGCAAACCATCAAGAGCATCCATCACCACGCAATATCATCTTCACTCGAGAGACCGAATATTTTCTTTGTTGGTACCAACAAGCAGCCAAAATGGCGGTACCCGAGTATCGTGACGAAGGTACGACAATATCCAAACGACAGAACAATCCATACTATTGTATACACTGATCACTAACATTCAACAGTCTCCATCACACTCTCGATCGCTGACCCCCCGGCCAACTTCACATTCCCAACTCGTCGTATCTTTCTCAGTAAAAAGAATCCGACGATCGAAATCGGCCGAACGAGCAAAAGGAACACCTCTTTTGAGGCGGCCAAGAGCAATGCTTGGTTCGATTCACCAGTCATGTCTCGAAAACATGCACTATTCACTCTTGACGCCGACAAACAGGTAAGGTTTTTGGAGGCAAAACACTCTACTACTTTTGGGCTAACATGTCATCTAGAAACTTTATGTCAAGGACACGGGTTCTCTCCATGGGACCTATAAAAACGACGTTCGCCTCGACACGAACGTGAACTCTGAAGTGGCCAGTGGTGACAAGCTCAAATTTGGTGCCTTCATTGAACGACCCCAGGATAAACACTACCCTTGTGCCATGATAGTCCGTCAAACATACGGGTCCATCAAGTATGCCATCTTTCAATATCTCATGTCTCTCTGCTAACTATTTTAGCCCCGACCTGCGCGGCAATAGCTTCCGCGTTCCTGAAGATAGCGATATCGAATCTCTGATCAGTGACGATGACCAAGTGAACAACAGCTACGAGATGTTGCGCACCAAGAACTTTGTCCCTGCCAGAATGGCTACTTCATCTTGTGGTCATGGTCCGATCGATTTGACAATGGATGATCACTATCCTCTTTCCAATGTTAGGGATGGACAGGTTACCGCGGCCTCTTTCGACAACTCTCCTCACATTCTAGAGATACCTTCCCCCAAGCTACCAGGTCCTGTCTCTGTTTCGGGTCACGAGTTTTCCGACTTGGAGAATGAAGAGCCCGAAGAAGGGGTAAATGACTTGTCACCAAATTCTATGGACACCGATGACTCTTATGGTGGCATTTCAGAAGATGGCCAGAGTATCGACTATGCAATGTCGTCTGTTGCAGGGGACTCCATTGTTGATGAAGAAGAAGACTTTGCCGAACATGATGAGTTTGAAGAGGAGCAAGGTATGTTCATGTGGTACAGCGCTGTGGACCATTTTGACCATTTTCCAGTCTACACTCAGGAACCCGCCCCTCAAGGGAACGGTCATCTTGAAGAGGCTACTATCATGGCATCTGTACTGAGCGAGAACCCTGAAAAGCTTACTTCGTGTTCACACCCGTTGGCCAACTCTTTCAGCACTCAGACCCGGGATGTTCCTCAGCAGTCCGATAGCGCCAACCCCCGTCAGTTGGACAAGAGCCACTATACGTGGAAATCCGATCTTGCTCCTATGATGTCGATTAATGGCACGTCGTCCCTGAAGCTTCCCTCACTTTCCGAAGCAGTCTTCGACACATACAATCCTGAGATGATCACACTCTCTACCGCTGAGATTGTCGGTAGAAAACATGGAAAGTACGAGTTCTTTGCTGCTAGAGAAGCCAATGCTTCAGCTGCCCGCGCACAAGCTCAACCTCGACCCATCGACCCCGTCCGTCAGGCACCAGTTCAGGAACACTGTCTCGTGCGGGCAGAGATGGGAAAGCAAACCCAAGTGCAACCAGTAGATGAAGTTCAGCAGGCCAATAAAGATGAAGTTCAACCACGCACTTCCAGTTTGGTATCTTCTGGTCTTAAATATCTAGCAACGCCTCCTGAGCACATCGAAACCATCACCACATCTGTGGAGCCAGAGTTAGACGACTCATCCGCCTGGGCTTTTGAAGAGAGCAAGAAGTCTTCTGGTGTCGAGGTCCCAACCGAGACAACTGAGAAGGCGGTGACTCAAGAGAATGATACGGATGTTGTAGAGGGTGGTGATACTGCCAAGCCAGCTGAAGCTTTAGAAGCAGCTGAACTGGTCAAACCAGTCGAACCAGTTGAGCCAGCGAAACCGGTCGAAGCCACGAAGGTAGCTGAATCTGTGGAGATTCCAGTACTAGAATCCACTGCAACCAAGAGAAAGGCCGAAGCAATTTCTCAACTTACCCCTGAAGAACAAATATCTAATGACCGCTCATTTCGACGACAGCCATTCCGCAGAAGCAGGATACAGTCGACTGGAAGGCCTCGCCACACTGCAGCATTGGCACCACCACCAAACAAGCGTCTTCGTCGTATGGCAGAAGCGGTCGGGTACGTCGCCCTCGGAGGAGCTGCTGTCATGTCGGTGCTTATTGCTACGGCACCCGCTCTGTAATTTACAGACAAAGAGGCCCCAGACCACGCAACAATAGCTTATGAAATTTTATGGGAGTTTACGAATTCGGAATCAAGGACAGGGAGTCGGCTGTTCACTTCAGTCAATCTTTTGCTTTCCACTTGCTGGCTTAAGGAACCAAACGCATGTTGTTAGGGGTATTTTAGTCGTGCTTATATGAATCTACACATTTCCTTCCACAACTAGCAGTAGACCGTTCTCGCGTGAAGTGCTATGATGAAATACCATTCATCAGAAATGTATTAAACTTGATCCCTTCTCGGGTTACCGCTTCTCTGCACCAAACGCCAGACCAATATTGCCCAAGTAAGCTTTCCAGGATTCCACCCATCATTGACAAATTCTCATTACTGTACGCTTCCATTCATCAAGCTTTCAAGCTCCCAAGGACTCAATGTGCTTCTACGTCGCGATGCACTCTTGCTCATTCGGCGTTCACGACGTCGTTTTTCAGGCTTCAACTGATCATCAGCCGGTACTGGGTCCCTCTTTACAGGGTCGACATTCTCAAAATCATTTCTTTTTTCGTTTTCGTTTGTGGATTCGGTAGCCTGGTCAGGCTGAGATGAGGTCATGGTTGGTTTCTTGACCCCACGAGTTCCACGGGCAGCTCGAAGTTTAGCTCGAACACGGGCAGCATCGGCTTCACGCTCTGAAGCGGCCAATTTGGCGGCAATAGTCGCCATAGTGAGGGGACTTTGCTGAGGAGCAGGGTCGATGTTTCGTGGGAGGGGGAGACGTGATGCTGTTCGGCGAGGAGAACGATTGGGTGAAGTCTGAGTCTCGCTTTGGTCGTCGCTGCTGCGGTGGGAGCTTTGGTGTCGGGGAGTAGAGATCTTCATCTCGTTAACTTGAGGGGCAGCTTCTGGTGACTTGACAAGGAGGACTTCGTCGAGCGAGGAGGAAGATGACACGCGATCGCGAGGTTCTTGATCATATTTAAGAGGAATGGGGCCTGCTTCTGTAGCAAGGTCCCATGTGTTTTCCTCGACAATAGTGGTGAAATCTCCCTTGCCATGTTTGCGTGGTTGAGAGCCTCGGTTTCCAGCGGATGCAGAATCTTTCAAGGGGCTGAGCTGGGGAGGCTCTGGTAGTGGTGAAGAGTCTCGGTCTGGATGGTAGAGGGGAGCTGCTGTGGACTGCTGAAGGATTTGCACATTAGGCTCCTCAATATCATAGTCGTCGATTGGGATGTTTTCGTCGTAGTCGGATTCGACATCGCTTTCCTGATCAACTTCATCCTCAGGCTCTGACTCTGGGACAAGCTGTACGCGAGGGGAACAGCGTGAAGGGCATGGCGAGTCGATAACATCCATCTCATCTTCGGGCTCCTCAGCAACAGCAGAAAGTCTCAGAGCAGATGCGTGCCTTGTCTCTTCTACATCTCGTACCCTCACAGGACTCAGTCGCAGTCCCATCTGAAGTTCTTCGTCGCAAATTGGCCGTCCATTAGCAGCCATACGCTTCCGCCAGCCATCAATCAGATGAACTGCCTCAGTCCAGCGACTTTCCATCTTGACCCAACCATCCTTGAGACGACTGATTTCCTCCTCGCGAACCATGACCTCTTCAATTGGTACGAATGACGGATTTGTTAGGATAGTTCGCATGTGTTCTAGCACAGAGTCCAGCTCTGAAGCCATGCCCTGCCACCCTTGCTGCTGAATAACAAGGTTATCCTGGTTCTCGTTGTTCCACTCACTCATGTCCCGCAGTTGCTGCATCGTCTTGCGCATTATAGAAAGAATAGCTTCGTTTTCCTCACTAAGATTCTGAGCCAGGTTGGCCAAGAATGCATTTGTTTCGTTGCGCAGATCATAATCATCTGCTGCTGTGGTGCCTCCGCGACCTGTAGACTTTTCCTCACCAACATCGCCTGTGACGATGATTGAGGTTACGCCGGGGTTCGCTCGGGATCCTCGTGCACGTCCAGCTTCGGCGAGCTGTTTCTTTAGGGTATCGATTTGGCGGTCCCGTCTACGGACATCTGTTGCGCATGCAGCTCGTGCTTGGGCGACTAGTCCCTTTGTACGGGCGACTTCTTCCTTTAAACCGCGTATGGCGGCGTCTGCCGACTTCATTTGTGTTTTGAGAGCAGCTTCTGAAGCTTCTGCAATGTCCAGCTTCCTCTTTGCTTCGGTGTGTTTCTCTGTGAGTCGCGCGATGTCGTTGGTATGTTTGAGGTTATCGGCGCGTAGGGTGCGCATGGTGGTTGAGAGAGATTCGCGATGTTCTGCATCACGCTGTGACTGTTAGTTGCATCAAGACATATGAGAGTCAACGTACATCTCGTCGGAGTATTAGATCGTTTAAGACGCTCACGATCCGTCCCATTGTAGCTCCAGATTCATCACCATTGAATGCCGCGCCGGCGAAATCAATACTCTGGCCATCGCGAAGTAGACCTCGGGATAGAAGCTGATTGTTGATATACAGCGATGCTGTACGAAGATTGTCGGTATCGATCATTGTGAAAGGTGAGCGAGTCCAAAGTTGATACACATGTCCTCGATTGCTTGAGGAGATTGACTTTTTCTCATCAATTTCCTGCGCAAGGTACTAGTACTATCTCTCCTGTATAAGTGCACAAGCTTGTGGTCCCTTTAATTGTTTTGGTGGGGAGAGCTGGTTGCTATGTGGGGGAACAAAGTAAACAATGCGTCCGCCAATGAGATCCCTGTAAAAGTGAGGCGGGCCTGAACGAGAGACCAGCCAGGGTGATCCTTTTGACAAGACAGCGCTCGACAGGTGGCAATGCAGATGATCAAGTTTTTTCTGTTTTTAGGTGAAAAGTGAGGGTTTTGGAATTTGCTGGTGAGGGTCGTTGTCTGGGTCGACAGTCCCACCTGTTGAACTAGAAAGCCTTGATGAGGATGCTGATGGGCCAAAATTGGGCATGTTTACAGTATACAGCCTAATCAAGATACGGATGAGAGGAAAGATGTGGTCAAAAAGTGGCCAAATGTCATAGCAATGGTGTTGTGTATATGTTTCCATGGACAACTTGACATTGATGCAAGCATAGACATAGCTGCTGGCATACATGCACTGTCAACTCAAAATCTCAGTCTGAAACATGTTCGAGCTTTGAAGCCGCACTGATCTATATTTTCTATATCTCCTCTTTCCTGACAAGGTCCTCCCCGCCTTGATAGCTTCTTGGTCAAGGCGAGGCAGAGTTAAAACGTGGTAGAAACCAAAGGCCCGAATGTTGCCTCGTGGCAAATTTTTATCTCCTTCTGGACTCTTATCTTGAGGGTATTGACCCGAGCGGCGATGACAGGATTTTCAAGTCGTAATGGGCAGAATACGAGAGCCAGAATGACTCGTGGGTATAAGTTGCGCGTCAACGTGGATATACTTTGAAACAGCACCCTTGTGTAGACCGAGCTTGACATGCTCTAGAAACCGCTAGGCTTGTCAGTGAGGTTCACGAATAAAGTCTGACAGAATATGGAACAATGTCTTTGTCTCAGACAAATTTGAGAAGATTGTAACGCGGTTGTTTTCGGCACCCAGATGGGAGACCAAAGGCCTCGCTACCCCATCATGTTCGATGGCCCCGCGACGTCATCATAAAGACAAACAATAAACACCATCATGACTTACATGAACAGTAGCTTTACCAAGCGTCTCATGTCTCTGGTCGGAATCTGCCCCTCTTCTCCCGCATCGCTTCCACCTTCCTCTTATCCTCTTGGAACCTCTTCATCAAAGCCATCTGCTCCGCCTTGCGTCGCTCTCTCATCTGGAAGCGGTAGAAGTCCTTGGTTTCAGTCTTCTTCTTGGCATCCCTCTCGATCATTCTGCGCTTGGCCTCCTCGGCCTCGTTTCGGCTGGCGGGAGCGGCTCGTCCACCGCGAGTCACCGTAACGAAACCATCCTCGTCTGGCTCATTGCGCAGTCGCTTGGCCAACTCGATAGCTTCCTTCTCCTTGCGGTTGAATGCAGTGAAGAAGGCGTGAACAGCCTTTTGGGTGGCTGGCTTGTCGACGCGCGAGAGTTGCAAATGCGATGCGATCCATGATGAGCCGAGGGAGGGGACATCGTCGGAGAGATCGCTACCCCATGTAGGATACTTTTTACTCTTTTGTAGCTTGGCGATAGCCTTGAGTATCAATTGCACACTCTTCTCGTCTGCGAGAAGCACAATGGCTGTGCTGCTGCTGCGTTGTACGCGCCGCGACCAGATCTGCGGTAATTGCGCAGCTTCCTCTTCTCGCTCCCGCTCTTCCGCCTCCACGTCGCCGCGTTTTCTCTTTTTCGCAAAGCCTGCAACTTTTGTGGCTTGCGCAGGATCAATAGGTAGCAGCGTTCGCGATTCGTCTTCGAAGGTAATACTCTCAAAGCGTCCAGCGCCTACAAGTTGTGTAAAGACGGCGCGAAAGTGAGGTTCTGTGCTGTCTGCGGGAATGTTCTTGAGGAATAGACTTCGCGAGTCGTTGGCGGTAGGTATCTTGGGCGCATTTTTCCGTATACGAACTTCGTGAATGGCGGTCTCTGGGTATGACGGTGTGGCGGGTATTTTTATCGGGAGGACGGAGAACTGATCTCCGGTTTCTTCGACGGGAGCCATTTTGAACAATGCGGTTGATGAGCTGAAGGAGTATTGATGGGGTCCAGATTGAAGCAATCAAGAAAAAAAGTTGGGCCCCACATCAGATAAAACCAGTGTTATCTGAGAAGTAATTAGCACGGTCCACTTACACGAGAGGACAGGGGTCTCTATCTGAAGCCTGAAGCTATTAATTATAAAAGTTCTCATAAGCTTGAAAATTTTTGTCATAAATCTTGGGATGAAGGATTAGGTGAAGTGCTACACTATAGGAGGTTTCTTTAGTTAGAAAGGATTCCTCATCCCGGCGGAAGAATATGCATATTTCTCATTCTTGTCTAGTAGTAGATTTATCGACACATTGATTGTGCAACGGCTCCTTTTCTCCTCATATATTCCCTCTTCTACATTGGAGCGAAGAAGCCAGATCCCCTTTTACAGGGGGATAAACCCTGCATGCGTTCATATGTTTGATAACCGGTACGTCCATACATGTGAGTTGTGATCAGCTAAGGTCCATAGCGGTTTCTGATATGCATATAATACTTCCGTGATTGTCAATGATAACTGTAACTGGTGATAAAAACACATAAACTTATATCAACACGACCTTATGCGTCA